AGGCTATGGTCGTATCAACATGGCAGCAATAAAATGTACCGCTTTTCTACTTCTGACATCACCAAAATGGACAGTTAACATCTGTCTGTGATGTGTTTGTGGTCAGATATGGTACATCAGCAAAGAGCCTGGGGTTCCATGCTGATCTATACTAGTTTTAGCTGGTTTATGCTGGTCTAGTGCTGGTGTGGTGCTGGTTTATGTTTGTCTAGCACTGGTCTGGTGCTGGTTTAGCTGGTCACCCAGCATTGTTGAGGGCACGGCTGGTGATCAGCGTTTTCCGGGCGGCCCACCGGTGTTCAAGCAGAGCATTAGACAAAACTCCCCTTATCATTTTCTACTCACAGTCCAATTTACTGATTTTCCTTCCTTTCTTTAGTTACACTTTGTAAATTAGCTTAGTAAATCATTTTAATCTATCACAGTATCAGCAAACAACATTTTCTACAAAATCATTTTCTATCAGGCCTAGTCATTATTTTTTTTCTATATGTTTTATTTTCTAAAATAAAAGTCTCTGTGCTTTTAAAATCTGTTTGAGAAGATTAATAACTAGTTAGAGCTTGTATGCAGGACAGTAATCTGGGTGGTCCGAGGGTGGACCCGCAGTGGCAAACAGTGGCAAATGCTTGCTGTGTGGCATATCATCACTGCCCAAAAAACATCGATCTCCATTTTTGTTGATTTTTTATTTTTCTACACCATTTGAAATGGCAGTTGCCCTTTACATTGACAAACGGGCCAATAGAAATGCTCCAAAATCTCTTGAAATAAAACTTCTTTTCATGAACTTACATTAAAAATTAAGACAATTTTTGCCTTCTCTTGTAAAATTACCATTATGGAGATGCTTGTTTTTCTTCGGACAGAGACGATATGATCATTTTGGTCACCAGCATCCAAATTGGTAACTTTACAGGAGAAGGAAAAGTGTTATGTTTGACGAATGTCATTGTAAAAAAAAACATCTAAATAATTTTAGGCCATTTATGTTGGTCATAAGATTGTAACACAGTGTAAAGGGCAACTGTTTTCAAATTATGCAAAAAAAAGTATTAAATAATGACAAAAATGGAGATGCAAGGTTTTGTCGCAACAAAGTCGACATGCCGGTTCTGTTGGTGACCAGCTTTGCTGGTCTGTGCGGGTTTTTCTGGCAGGGTTTGTCCATGTTTTGTCCTGTTTTGTAGCTTTAACACACAGGGGTCATTAATGACGTAAGGCCAAGGTCCAAATAGAAAAGAAAGTCGTGATAGAAGTGTATCAATAACCGAAGCGGGTTCTTCTATTGTGACAATGTCAAGTTTGTAATGATAGATCTAGAACCTTTTTTAAAATGGTTCTGTATAGCATCAAAAAGGGTTCTTCTATTGTGACGATGTGAAGCCTGTAACAATAACAGAACTCCTTTTGGTGTTCTATAAAGAACAATATACATCACATTCTCCACCAATCTGAAGAACCATTTCACCATGTAATGCAAATTGACTTTATATAGAACTCATGGTTCCAAATAGAACCACTGCCTTTACTAAAGGACCCTTGAAGAACCGTCTTTTTTGAGAGTGTAGACTGGATGGCGATGCCGTTGGGGCGGTTCAGCTCAGCAGCACAGCGGCTGCAGCCATTTATCATTGAAAACCCCTCACTGCTCCTCCCTCTGCTACCTTCTTTACTTCCGCTCCAGCAGCGGGAGGCCTCACACCACCCCGCCTCCGACTCTGCCTCCCCACGTCCTTCTCTATGGGCCCCCTTCACTGCCCTCTCCCCTGACTTCCATTTTCTCCCTCTTTCCTCAAGATCTATGAATGTGTTTATCTGTTACAGACTGCTGACCCTCCAGAAGGCGTTAGCAATTAGCCTGCAGGCGCAGGGAGCTGGAAAATAATCCACTACCTCGGTTAAAATCAGATCCGCCTCAAAATGAGTAATTTCAGGATCAACCCTGTACATTACAGAGGAATTTTAATAGCTAATTCTCTCAGTTTTTCCACATGAGAGAAATGTGATGCTCACATTATAGCATGACTGAGGTCACATGAGACAGTGTGTCAATGACACTGGACATAAAGGCGTCCTTTTATTCTCTTTGCTGCTCAAAAATGTGTTTTGTCATTTATAATTTAACCCTTTATTGCATTAATTTTGAAATACATAGTTTTCAAATTAGTGTAATTAGTAAAAAATATTTGTAAAAGTTTGAAAATTTGTGTATGTGTGTCACTTTGCATTTTGTTGCCATATGGCAACAGCATGTGCCAATGGAGCAGCAATCTGGAATACTTGCATGCATGCAAGCTGAATGAATCAATACATTACCATAGGGCATATGCCACATATGCATAAGTTTTTATATAGTGCATAAAAGTAGGAAAATAATTATATTGATAAAAACATCAAGTTGTGAAACTCTACAGTGTATGCAATGCAGTTCCATTATTGCATACTGTTGCCATATGGCAGCAATAATATTTTATATATTTTTTATAAAACCCTCTAGTATCTACATTCATAGTCCATAAATATTGCATTATATATATTTATGTTCTTGAAAGATCTTCTGATGCTTGGCCTCATCATGTGATGTATTTGTGTGTGTGTGGAAAATGAGAAGTACAGAAGACATTTAATCAGAAAAGTATACCATTTTACACAAAAGGCCTTCAGTTGTGTAAAAAAGAAGAAAAACTGACTTTATATTGTTGGCAAAAAAATGAATAGAAAGCGATTGTTGCCTTATGGCAACGCCATGCAGTAAAGTGTTAACAGAAAAAAATGAACCGTTTAATGCATGATGTTGCCATATGGCAACAGATTTTCTTTTCCTTTGTGAAACTGATGGCTTTATTTGTTTATATAAACTTTTATCTGATCATATGCCATCTTTGTCACAGGCTGTACTGACATCTAATTACTATTCATGTATTATTTATTATGTTTGCAGCTTCAAAAAATAATAAACAAAGTCTGTTTGGCGTTTCAATTTCTTTTTTATAAAGGAAACCAGTTTTGCTGCTGTCAGTTTTTGTTATTTAAAATGACAAAATATAATTGTTGCCACATGGCAACAGCATTCCACAATGGAACTGCAATCTGTAATGAACACAGTGGGAGTAAATAGATACACTGCCATTTTCACAACTGATTTACATTTGGAGTTGATTTTTTTACCACAATATTAGTACTTTTTTACCTGGATGACGAATGTTGCTGTGTTCCATGGCAACGTATTTGTTGACTCCCTTTGTATGCGCTGCAGGCCACATTCCCGAATGCTGTTGCCATATGGCAACAATTATATATTTTCAAGAATGTTATTATATTTTTATAAATGATGCCATTTTCAATTAGAAAAATAATTCCATAATTCACGCAGTGAGGGGTTAATTTAATGATTTCTTTTTTAATCATTTGGACAGAATACATTAGAAACAATCTAGAGTTTATTAACGTGCAAAAAAAGTACAGACTGCAATAAGCAGGCATGAAAGTATACCATTTTACATAAAATACATTCAGTTTTGCGAAGGACAAGGAAAAATGACTTTATATTGGAGGCAGGCAAAAAAAAGGAAGCATATGTGACGGCAACAGCAGCTGCTTACCCTCAGTTGCTCTACGCTTCCTCTGCTGCCCACTATGCCGTCACCACCAGCAAGAGTTCTGCTTGTGTATGCTAGAGCCCCGGTCTCGGGCCTTGGCCAGCCACATGGCCGGCGCCTGCTCAGAGCGTCGATGGAGGACCTGCCACGCTGCTCTGTCAGCAGGTCCTCGCCAGCCTGCTGAGTCTTTTCCCCTGTTCACCGTCGAGTTCATGGAAGCACCATTCCACCCCAGTCAGCCGGGGATGGCCAACCCATTTCTGACAACAGTGTGGTGTCGGAAAGATGAACACAGGGGTTAAAAGGCTACTGCTCTTTTATTGACCAGGTAGCAAGTGAGGACCGCTGCACAGTGCTGATGAAACAGCTGATGGCAGGCAGGTCACTTCTAGCTATTCACTTTCACCTGACGGTAGGCCGCGCTAACTACCCCACAACCCCGCACGGAATAGCACAAACAACACACGTTCATCATCAAGCTAACAAGCTAAAACGTATACCATTTTACACAAAAGGCCTTAGAAAAAAATGACTTTATATCAGAGGCAACAAACGAAAAGAAAGCAACTGTTGCCATATGGCAACGCCATGCAGTAAAGTGTTAAATACATGAACACTTTCCTGCATGATGTTGCCATACGGCAACAGGTTTTCTTTTCCTTTGTGAAACAACTTTGTCGGTATATTATTATTTTCTTACCTGTTAAATTAACCCTTTACTGCATGATGTTGCCATATGGCAACAGGTTTTCCTTCCCTTTGTAAACTGAACGCTTTGTCAGTGTATTTGTCACAGTCTGTACTGATAGATGATTAATTTTCATGTAATATTTAGTATTTTTGCAGCTTAAAAAAAAAACAATAAACAAAAACTTATTTACAATAAATGTGCACGGTGCTTCCCAAGCGCGCTGGATCTGCGTGGCCACGCCCACATCATGTTCTCTGCTCTAGCAAACCCAGATCATTCCAGGAAGGGTTTATTAATGGGCTGAGAAGCCGTTTGAAGCAGGGAAAACCCTGAAAGCTCCAGATCCAGCGCTTGGAAAACACCGCTGGAAGTCAAGCGGCTCGGTTGTTCCTTTCAGACTGAATGAACCCCTCCTGACCTTCTGACCTCGACAGCTCATCTGTGTGACTGAGGACGAGAGATGATGTGGAACGAATACAGCTCGTGCAGCCTGCAGCAGCATGCTTTAACGGATCATTGAAATGCGAGTGGGCGCGTTCAAGAGAGCACATGCTCCGTCGGGGGGCGGGGCCATGGGCGGGGTCTCCGCGGCGCTTCACATGGTCATTGGTGCTTTGTTTTGACAGGCGCGGTTGGTGGGCGGGGCTATGTGCAGGTGGGTGTGCGTTCTCGCGTGCAGAGTGGGATAACTGGCCCGATCTCTCAGCCCGCCCGCACTCGGCCACCGCACACAGTGCACGCGTTCTTCCTGGACAGGCGCGTGGAGCGGATAAGACTCAAATTCAGCTCCGTCCGAAGAAGCATCACTCTGCAGGAGCAGGAGCGTGACGTCATCCCGCAAGAGCTGCTAAAGCCCCGGAGCAGAAAAAGAGAAGATAAACAAGTAAATAAACAATAATGGATCGCAAAATTCCCGATTTTTCTGGAACCTGGAAAATGAGAAGTTCAGAGAACTTTGAGGAGCTTCTGAAAGCGCTGGGTGAGTCAGCATTACGGCGCCTTAGTGAAGCCACTGTCTCTCTCTCTCTCTCTCTCTCTCTCTCTGTTTATTTCTCTGTTTATTTCTTTCTATTCTTTCTCTCTCCCTCTCTCTCTCTTAATTTCTTTCTGATCTCTCTCTCTTTCTTTCATCTCTCTTTCATTCTGTTTTGTCTCTGTCTCTCTCATTTTTCTTTGTCCTCACCCTTTCTCTTTCAGACTTATTCCCTCAATTTCTTTTCTCTCTCTCTCTCTCTCTCCCTCTCTCTCTCTCTCTCTCTGTATCTCTTTTCACTCTCTCTCTCATTCTCTCTGAATGTCTCTCTCTCTCTAACTTTTTTCTCCCTCTCTCCCTGCCTTTAACCTCTTCTTCCCTCTCCCTCTCTCAGCCCATCTATTTCTTTCTTTGTCTTTCTTGTCTCGCTCTCTCATTCTGTTCTCTCTATCTGTCTCTCTCTCATTTTTCTGTCCTCTTTCGTTCTCTCTTTTTTCTCACTTTTTCTTTCTGACCCCCCCCCCTCTCTCTCTCTCCTGTTTCTAAGGCATTTCTAAATGATGCCCAAATAAAGCGTTTTGAAACTTTCTCTCTCTTTCTCTGTCTCTCTCTCTCTTTCTCTCTCTCTCCCTCCGTCCGTCTCTCTCTCTCTCTCTCTCTCTCCCTCCGTCTCTCTCTCTCTCTCTCTCTCTCTCTCTCTTTCTCTCTTTGACCTTTCTCTTCTGTCTCTCTCCATCTTGCTCTCTCTCTTTTTGTCTCCCCGTGTTTTATTTCTCTCTCTCTCTCTCTCTCTCTCTCTCTCTCTCTCTCTCTATACACATAGTTCTGAAAATTATTTTTTTTCTTTTTTTTGAAATGCGTTGCTTTGTTTTGTGTGTGAGTGTGTGTGTGTGTGTGTCTGTGTGTGTGTGTGTGTGTATGTGTGTGAGAGAGAGTGTGTGTGTGTGAGAGTGTGAGTGTCTGTGTGTGTGTGAGAGAGAGTGTGTGTGAGTGTGTGTCTGTGTGTGTGTGTGTATGTGTGAGAGAGAGAGTGTGAGTGTGTGTGTGTGAGAGTGTGAGTGTGTGTGTGTGTGTGTGAGAGAGAGAGTGTGTGTGAGTGTGTGTGTCTGTTTTTGTGTGTGTATGTGTGAGAGAGAGAGAGTGTGAGTGTGTGTGTCTGTTTGTGTGTGTGTATGTGTGAGAGAGAGATTGTGAGTGTGTGTGTGTGAGAGAGTGTGTGTGTGTGTGTTGGAATGGAATCGTTAAGATGCGTGAAGGCAGAACAGGACTGCACACACACACACACACACACACACACACACACACACCGTGAATGACAGATGTCCTCATAAAAGAGCGAGTGGGAGTGGATGTATGTGAGGAATGTGTTTGATTGACAGGCTGACGGACAGATTGATTGAGGGACGCCCTTTCAGGGCTCACTTTAAAGGACCCATATCACGGGAAAACGAGCCGTCTTTACTTTTCCTAAAATAAAACAGAAATATGTAAACACTGTTAAAGTTTCAAAAGCCCCACCCCCTTCCACACTGAAGTTATAAAGAGTGTTTCAGCCTGGACTTTAAACAAGACACAACACAGAACCAATTAGAACAGAAGAACAGAGCTCATTTACATACATCAGTCTTAAAGGCACAGTAACAGCCTGTTTAAGGGATAAAGAGAAGTTGGAAAATGTACATGTACACTATTAAGATGGTTCTTCGAGGGTTCTTTAGGAAATCCAATGGCTTTGTAGAACCATGAGCACTCAAAGAACCATTTGCATGCTTAAATGGCTCTTTGCATGGTTAAATTGTTCTTCCGATGGTTCTATATAGCACCAAAAAGGGTTCTGCTATTGTTACGATGACAAGCTTGTAACAATCTAAGAACCCGTTTTGGTGCTATATAGAACCCTTTTCAAAAAGGTTCTATCTAGAACACATTCTCCATCAATCAGAACGATTATACCATGCAAAGAGCCATTTAAGCATGCAAATGGTTCTTTGAGTGTTCATGGTTCCACACAGAACCATTGTCTTTACTAAAGAACCCTTGCAGAACCATCTTTTTAATAGTGTGTAAATGAATTATGGCTGACTATTTTTGGTAAATGAAACCAAACAAATGTTATAAGTGGACCTCTTCTGGCTTCACTTCAATTCAGTTCAGTTTGTATTTCTTGCAGTTCTATTAAACGTTGGGCTGGACAGATGGACTCGACCCATCAGCACTCTTTCATCCTCCACCCCTCCTCTCCTCCTCTCCTCCGCTTTATTCTCAAACACTTCCTCTGATCCCTGACCCCTGAACTATGACTCTGACACTCACCCTGACCGCCACTGTGTGTGGTCAGTCTCTCTCGGGTCATTACCGTGGACAGGCGGGCTGGGAAGGTTTGGCATTATTGCTCATACTTAATAAGGCCACTAAGCATGGACAGTTAAAGAGCCCATATCCTCCATTTTTATCTCTAAAGTCTGTTTAGGACATTTGTGTGGTTTAATTTAGGTGGGCACTGATATGGGAGCTGTGGGCCGACACCAACATGCAATACTTTCCATGCACATACAGTCGTGTGCAAAAGTTTGTGGTCAAATTTTGTATTTTTGTTGATTTTCTGAGTGTAAATGGGTTAACACGTCCTCAACGCTTCTGCACATTTTAATGCACAATTACTGTTTATTTACTGAATTTGACATTTTCTAGATCGCTTCCGCTGAATCATTCACTTCTGTTTGTTAAATATCATTTTTATACATCAAATACAGCTTAAAATCTCAGGATTTGATTCCCACAAAACGTTTTATGATCCATTATTCACAGCAGTTACGGTCGTCTCATTTGCAACATAAACACCGAATGAGCCAACACTAAAAAATCTGTCCTCACCTTCAAAGCCTCGCTGCCTCCACAGAGACACCATAATCCACAACATGTGGTCTAATAACATGGCAAGAGTCAGAGATCAGTTTAGAGATCTATGAGTCAGGAGGAAATAAACTCCTCCATTCTAGGCTCTGTTACTCTGAGTCAGTAATTCAGACAGTTGTTCTGAAAATGTTAGAGTGTTGGCTTTCAAATGAGACCAAGATCATGACTGTAGCCCAGAGTATGTGTGAACAGCGCCCCCTATTGGTTGAGTATTCCATTTCAGGCTAAAACCAACATAAAATATGGCCAGTGCAAAAAGTTAAATAAATCAAAAATATGCACATTTGCAGGAAAATACCCTCTAGAGGATGAGTTAGCCTATTTTCGGGGGTGCTGAAACTATTGCACATGACTAGCGATAGGTAAATGTTAAGAAAATGTAGATATTATAGCACAGAGTTGCCTAAACATACAACAGAACAATACATACATCATTAAATATGTACATCAGAACGTGATTGGTTGATTCCTCTGTCAGTTCCTAATTATGTTGGTGGTTAATCTAACATGTAAGGCCTTCAGTGCAGCTCCTGAAGTCCTAACCAATGGGTGAGCAGCTCAGCTATATCTACATAGATCCCACAGAAAAAACATGGTAACCTAATTCTGATTTCTGTCACATCCACATTGTATCCAGAAAGATTTTTGATAGTCTGGACAGCAAAAAAACACATCAAATCTGGTTTTTGCAAATCGGATCCAAACCACATTTGGAGGCGGTTTGAAATGTGACTCCAATCGGATTTTTACACATGCGTCTCAGACGCTCTGGGCGGTCATATCGGATTTCAAAGTGTCTTTTGCGTCACTTGCAACGAGTCGAGAGTGATGGATATGCTGGGATTTAAGAGGGGGTCCAAAAATTCATGATTATGCCAGAGAATTCTGAAGAGGTTGGAGGGTGAGATGATGCTCCTTCATCTCTCCTGCATCTGCGTTTGAAATCCGCCCCACTGGCGTAGCTACTTTGTTATTGAGGCCTACATTGTTACCACGGCAACCCATGCAGATAGACTTATGATGTCTGGACACACGAATCCGATCTGATCACTTGCAAATGACAGAGTCGTCTCTGTTTAAATACAAACATAATGATTCCATTTTATTTAAAAATCTGCAAAAGAAAAAAAAGATTATGACATTTTGTGAGTTAATTCAAAATCTAGAAATGAATTATTGCATTAATTAGGGAACATGAGCTCAATATTAGCAATATTAGTGCTTTATAACTGTGCGTAGATGAGTTAGACTAGTCAGAAGCAACCAAACACCTATATGCTGTGACATCACAACCACATATACTGGCAGTCTGCCGTGTTCAGTGTTCAGCCTAAACCAGAAAAAAGTGGACGTTCGTGTCGTCTTGGCCAAAATAACCGGCCTGGACTTCAGTTCACAGAAAGAAATCGCAATTAAAATCCCAGTTTAATATTGATAAAAAAAATCGCAATTCAGTATTTTTCTCAAATCGTTCAGCCCTAGCCCTAGTGAGAGAGAGAGTCATTCGGACCACCTTTTATGGAAAAGACCACCATCAACTGTCAGTTTGTTTGCATGTCTCCATTTGAGAATGTGTGTGTATATATTTACTCTTGCTGACAGGTGGGAATGTGTGTGAGGGGAAGAGTGTGAAATTCAACTCGACGCACACACACACACATATACTGACCACTGTACATCTACTGCGGTGGGGAACCCGCAGGACCATCTAGACCCTCAGAGACGATCCAGTGATTACATGTCATATTTCTTTAATAGAATCATCATGTTTTTATACTTTAACTCTGTAAGTGTTGCAGTAAGTCTTTTAGCTCATTAAGTTGTGAAACTAAAGTCCTGAAACGGAACATTATCCAGTAGGGATTGTCTTCTCTGTGGTATTGACACTCTTAAAAAGATGGTTCTTCAAGGGTTCTGTAGTAAATGGAGTTCTGCTTAAATGGTTCTCTGCATGGTGAAATGGTTCGTCAAATCGATGGACAATGTGTTGTATATGTGTTGTTTTTAAAAAGGTTCTGCTATTGTTACAAGCTTATAGCAATAGCAGAACCCTTTTTGGTGCTAAATAGAACCATATATAACACATTCTCCATCAATCTGAAGAACCATTTCACCATGCAGAGAACCGTTTCAGCATGAAATCATGAACCTTTTTTAAGTGTGTAAATAAATACAGCTGAGCTGCTCTCCCATTGGTCAGGACTTCAGGAGCTGGACTGAAGGCCTTACATGTTAGATTAACTAGCAACATAGATAGGAAGTGACATAGGAATCAACCAATCACGTTCTGATGTACATATTTGGTGATGTATTTATTATTCTGTTGAACACACTTTGAAAAAGATGGTTCTTCCAGGGTTCTTTAGAAAATAAAGTGTTTCTATATAGAATCGTGAACATTCAAAGAACCCTTTGCATGATGAAAGTGTTCCTCAGACTGACGGAGAATGTGCTGTAGATGGTTCTATATAGAACCTTTTTGAAAAAGGGTTCGTCTGTTGCTACAAGCTTGGCATCATAACTATAAAAGAACCCTTTTCAAAAAGGTTCTGTATAGAACCATCTACAGCACATTCTCTGTCAGTCTAAAGAATAATTTTGTTATGCAAAGAATCCTTTAATCATGCAGAGGGTTTTGTGAGTGTTCATAGTTCTATACAGAACCATTTTCTTTACTAAAGAACTGAAGAACCGCCCTTTTTAATAGTGTATGCAACTGCAGTATAATATCGGCATTTTATATATATATATATGTATGTGTGATGCTAATTCAGGTAGGTTTAGTCTCAGTTTCTACATTTCATAAAGTGACAGAGGAACCAACCAATCATGCTTTGATTTACAATGGATGGAGCCAGAAAACATCACTCTAGTCCTTCTAGAAGTTCTAGATACATCACTATATAAGACGTAGTCTAAGCAGTATTCCAGTTGTTAGGAATGTAAAACAGCGGCGGCTCTATGGCAGCTGAGTCACTGTAAAAGTGATACATACAAGCTCAGATATATATTCACGTCCATTACAAGCTTCAATTGTCTCTGTTTAATCTAGAACGTCCAAAAAATGTTCATGTGTGTCTTTCTCTCTCTCTTTTCCTTTGAGGTTCTTGTCTGGCTTCTCTTTTCTTTTCATTCTTTACTTTTCTTTTCTGGAACTCTTTTTTATTCCTCTTTTTAACTCTCCTCGCCCCCCTTTATTTCACAGCTGTCTCTTTGTTTCCTTGCACCTCTGTCCATTTCCCGACAGGAAGGTGTAACAGATTACTGCGCCCCCCCCAGGCCACTCCAATAACTTCCCCCTAACACCCCCCGCCCCCCCCAGCATTTTAATCATCACAGTGCTTTAAACTGCCTGCAAGTCATTATTGATCTATTGCTGGCAGAACAAAGGGTAATCACATCTATGCACTATGTGCTGGGCATGTCCAGTCTTGATGACATCCCTGTCCCTCCACCCTTATTCACTGCAACAGGCCAGAGAGTTCACTGCACAAACTGACACAATTATTACCGTCAGACTGTAAAACTACACACTGCAGATTCATACTGGATTAAAATCGCTCCACAATTATTACCGTCAGACTGTAAAACTACACACACTGCAGATTCATACTGGATTAAAATCACTCCACAATTATTACCGTCAGACTGTAAAACTACACACACTGCAGATTCATACTGGATTAAAATCGACTCCACAATTTCATTATCTCAATTATCGTCAGACTGTAAAACTACACACACTGCAGATTCATACTGGATTAAAATCACTCCACAATTATTACTGTCAGACTGTAAAACTACACACACTGCAGATTCATACTGGATTAAAATCGCTCCACAATTATTACTGTCAGACTGTAAAACTACACACACTGCAGATTCATACTGGATTAAAATCACTCCACAATTATTACTGTAGACTGTAAAACTACACACACTGCAGATTCATACTGGATTAAAATCACTCCACAATTATTACTGTAGACTGTAAAACTACACACACTGCAGATTCATACTGGATTAAAATCACTCCACAATTATTACTGTAGACTGTAAAACTACACACTGCAGATTCATACTGGATTAAAATCGCTCCACAATTATTACCGTCAGACTGTAAAACTACACACACTGCAGATTCATACTGGATTAAAATCGCTCCACAATTATTACTGTAGACTGTAAAACTACACACACTGCAGATTCATACTGGATTAAAATCACTCCACAATTATTACTGTAGACTGTAAAACTACACACACTGCAGATTCATACTGGATTAAAATCACTCCACAATTATTACCGTCAGACTGTAAAACTACACACACTGCAGATTCATACTGGATTAAAATCACTCCACAATTATTACCGTCAGACTGTAAAACTACACACACTGCAGATTCATACTGTATTTTTTTTCATGCTGTTTTTATACTAATTTTTTTAATTCATACTGGATTAAAATCACCCCACAGTTGACCTCTGCTCCACTCATAAATATATTATTTCATAACAGCTTTTACGAAAGAGTGCACTTGTGGGCGAAGCGTGGATCGATTGTGAAACTAAACACATTACAGACTCATACCAGTTTAAAATCACAGACACCTTAATACTTAAAGCACCGAACCTCCGCAGCTGAAACTAATCTTCCTCCAGCAGAGCTTTATTTGTCCTCTCTCTTCTCCCACCCTGTCTAGAAATGACGGACGCTGTGTCAGGAACATTAGTGAAAGCGTGTTGTGTGGGTGGACGAATGTGACCCGTCTGCACACCGGCATGTTTACGCAGCACACTGTCTGAGAGGGAACGCCTCAGGTGTGCGAGACTGATCTCACTCTGTTTACGCTCTGTGTTCTCAGGTGTGAATGTGATGCTGCGTAAAATCGCCGTGGCGGCGGCCTCAAAGCCATCGGTGGAGATCACGCAGGACGGCGAGACGCTGTCAATCAAAACCTCTACTTCAGTCAGGACCACCCACGTCACCTTCACCGTGGGACAGGAGTTTAACGAGACCACCGTGGATGGACGGCCCTGCACGGTACACAAACACACACACCTAAAAGAGCAGGGCTGATAACCGGGCAAATGATGGTTTGTGAAGGATTATATCTGAAAAAACGGGAGGGGGAGGGTTAGTTTCTTCTCTGGGAGCATTTTTATGTACATGTCTGTGTATGTGTGCATGTATAAATATGCATATTTATGTAAAACCCCATAAAATGTTATTCACAAGGGCTGCAACCGGGGGCACTGGTGCAAAATTGTACTACATGAAAACTTTGTGCACAGGCCCTTATTTGCCTTAGCAGAACCTCTCACGCTAGACAAAAATGAGGTCTTGCATGTAAAATGATCTTAAATCTAGTCAATATATGTAATATGTCTGGTTTTGAGATTGCTGTGAGGTTCTTATAAGATTATTTAACTTATATCTACATTTTTGCAAAATTACCTACCAATAAAGTGAGATAATTTCATTAGTAAAACCAATTAAAACAAGCAAAAATGTCTAAATAATCTAAGCTTACAACAATATAAAAAATTAGAAATACTATACTATATTTAGACTACATTTAAGATCATTTTATTTGCCAAGATAAAATTTATTGCAGTGTACAACATTAATACATGCCAAAATGCTCACTCTTTATTTACTCTTACTCAGCATGCAGCAAGCTGTGAATATGAATATGACTGTATACCAATATACACAATATAATATCATGTATACACCTGGCAAAAATTTTGAAATGCTTATTAAAAGCATCTTGACTGTTGAAGCAAAGCGCTATAATGGACTGTTTTGACTAGTTTAGGGCAGATTTATTATTCAAAGCCCACAAAAATCTCCACACAAATAGTCACAGATCATGAAATTCATTCATGGAATATGCTATAATGAGCTAGAGAGTGTTATTAGCATATATAGCAAACCAGACTACTTTCTATTTAGAAATAGAAGCCATATCGCCCCCTATGCTTCCTGTAGTGTATTACGGTCTGTCAGAGTGACTGTGTGGATCATATGAACATTATAGAGGCTTTTTAAATGAAACAGTAGAAGCCATATCGCCCCCTACACTTCCTGTAGTGTATTACAGTCTGTCAGAGTGACTGTGTGGATCATATGAACATTATAGAGCTTTTTAAATGAAACAGTAGAAGCCATATCGCCCCCTACGCTTCCTGTAGTGTATTACAGTCTGTCAGAGTGACTGTGTGGATCATATGAACATTATAGAGGCTTTTTAAATGAAACAGTAGAAACCATATCGCCCCCTACACTTCCTGTAGTGTATTACAGTCTGTCAGAGTGACTGTGTGGATCATATGAACATTATAGAGCACTTCTGTTTTTTTTTACTGACTTTTATCAATAATCACAGTCGTCAGTGATTAATCAGCTTTGTCAAATAATCTTTGCAGCCCTACAGTCTTGATTAGCTTTGCGTTCCTGTATCCACAGTAAAATCCTGCACTCAGATTCTTTCTCTTTTTCAGTCCGGTTCCTGCCTTTCTCTCTCCCTCCTGCTGTATTTTTTCTCTGGAGTCGTTCCACGTTGTTTCATGTTTTCAGTCATGTCTCAGAAACATCTTATTTCAAAACTTCTTGGGCATTCACAAAGTGCACAGATGCGTCCAAACCAAATACTCAGCAGAGCTATAATAACCACATTACACACTGAAGAAATAGTTTGGCAAAAAATCAGATTTACTCAGTTTCCCTCTTCAGTCCAAATGTACCACGACAGACCATGTCAAGCTTTGTACTGACAAAATGGACAAAGTTACAGAAAGGGTTCTGGCTTCAAGGTGGTTGCTACTGTTTTTACCTATGCTAATGTATTTTAGTCCATGTTTATGGACAGCAATGTGGCATAGAGTGTCAGAAACCAACCAATCACGTTCTATATAGACCAAAGTCTCGATTACTGAACAAGATCACTGAATCGAGCATGTGATGATTTCCATGCTAGAAAAACCAGCATAGACCAGTGGCATGTAAGCTTCCATTACTTGTTAGCTACATTAGCTTTGTAGCTCCAGTGCTAAAACTAAAGAAGCTAAGACCGAACATGTCTTAGCTGAACTGTCACTTTAATAATGAGTCTCACACTGTCACTCGTTTGAGTTCTAGATAGATTGATAGATAGATAGAGAGATAGATAGATAGAACTTTATTGATCCCGATTGATAGAACTTTATTGATCCCGAATATTTATTGATATTCCAGCTTCCATTCTTTTTAGGAGACTCACTTTCAGTTCCTCAAAGAATCTGCAGACACACCTCCAAAGTTCAGTCTTAAAAGCTGGTTGATCATTTTCTGAAGTAATCAAACACATTCAGTGATGTTGAGGTCTGGACTGTGGGGTGGTCAGTCTGTTGTTCAGCTACTTTGTTTGATGTGCATGTTTCTTTTTCTCAGTAAGGGCCTCTTGACAGACTACACATCCTTTCAGACCTTTTAGCTCCTTATTGTATGATGACCATGATGATAACACTTATCCATTCCCCTATAGAGTCTTCCTCGCTGGGAGACAGACAGTAAGATCAGCTGTGAGCAGACCCTGCAGAAGGGGGAGGGGCCAAAGACTGCCTGGACCAGAGAACTAACCAATGATGGAGAACTCATCCTGGTAATGTTCACACATCACTGGCTATCATTCCTGGTAATCAGCCACTTGCTTAAATGGTCATTTGTTTACATGACCCTAAGGGTGGGCAACCCGGAAAAATTACACAATATGCATCCCAACATTCAGTGTTTCTGAGGTTCATGAAGAATCTGGAATGCACTGACAAAACAACAGAGCTACGATCAAAAAGACCTAAGAACTCTGAGTACAGTGACGGTTTTTATTTTAAAAAATAATAATCTATTTTTGAATAAACAGGAGGAAAAAACAAACAAGTTGATGATGATGTCATAATGGGCTGCCATCCAATCGCGGTGTGCGCTGGCATTAAGTCTGTCTTTTTATGATCTATGTTTTTGTTCTAGAAGTACTGATAATACCCATTATATATTCAGAACTGTGTCATAACTTAATTTTTATAATAATGAAAATCATAATCATCCCCCATAAGCATCCCCCGACCCCTAAATGCAGTGGCTAAAACAGCTCGGCCGTCAGTTTGGGGCGAAACTGTCAAAACTCTCCTTTACAATATAAAAAGTGGTTTCTTTTAGCGAGGCACCAAAACAATAGAAGCCATATCGCCCCCTACACTTTCTGTAGTGTATTACAGTCTGTCAGAGTGACTGTGTGCTAATTTCTGCTAGTGCCCCAATGGGATTTCTAATAGTATGTTAGCGCCAAGGTAATGGTGATTCACATGAATTGTAGCGTGTAACAGACATTAACATACATTTGAGCTTGTATGTATCAGTTTCACAGTGACTCTTTCAGTAAAGAATTCTGGCATAGAGCTGCCACCACTGCTTTTCATTCCTAACAACTAACCGGAACACTGCTGACACTATGACTCGTACTCACAGACTGTGACAAATCTGGAACTTCCAGAAGGACTAGAGTGGTGGTAATTCTCACCACCAAACCCCCAATTGTAAATCAAAGCATGATTGGTTGATTCCTAATTAAGTTGGTAGATAATCTAACATGTAAGGACTTCAGTCCAGCTCCTGAAGTCCTAACCAATGGGAGAGCAGCTAGATACCATAGAGAACATCCTGATTTGACAATTTTATGTTGGGCTTTACAAGAATTCGACCTTTTGTTTCCGACCAAAACTTAACAATGAAATATGAGTATTACTAAAATAGTAACAGATATGAAATACAGCAAGCATGATGATTCTATTAAATAAAATTAAACTAAAAATTACAGACTTGATTTTTTTTTTGTATGTTTTATATCATTAGGTCTTCTCTGAAGGCCTAGAAAACTCTGAGGGTTCCCTTCTGTATAAATGACTCTTGGCATTTTTGTCCCCTGCTGAAAAAAATTACATTTTATGCTGGTCTAAACTGGTTTATGCTGGTCTGGTGCTGTTTTAGCTGCTCACTCAGCATGGTCATACTGGTTGACCAGCATACCAGCGTCCATAAGACAACATATGCTGGTTTTGCTGGTCTGTGCTGGTCATTATCTATTAGATGTTTCCACATCTAATTGCTTTCCTCTTTTACCTTTTTACAGACGATGACCGCAGATGACGTGGTGTGCACGAGAGTTTACATCAGAGAGTGAAAGTCGAGAAAGAACGAAAAAAAGAAAGGCCTCCTTCCTTTTCCCAACAACATCTTCCAACAGATAACTCTGCCAAAGTTGACTCTTCCTGGCACAAACCGGGATCTGCATGTTTACATTAGCTTTAGCCTCGGTTTCTGAATCAACTCACAGTGCATAAACCTTAAAGTCCTTCAAACTGACCAAACGTATAAGTGATACAGAACGTAAGAGACACCAACAGGCTGTTAACTGGAGTTTCCTTACCTGTTTTTCCTCCATTTTGTATACGATGTCTGAGATAAGAGGTTATTGTTGATTGTGTGGTACTGTAGGCCTTATGTGGTCAGCAAAAACTGATATGAATCTGCTTTCAAAGTATTTAGCCTTATCCAGTGTACGTAACAGACTTTTTTAGCTTAATACAGGAGTGTCTGACTCTGTTTCTGGAGATCCACCAAACTGAGTTCAGTTCCAGGAACACTACACGTCTAAATATTAGCATTAGCTGTGTTACATTGAAAGAATAGTTTTGCAAATCTAATTTCCCATTTAACCCAAATATAATCCATCAGACAAGACCTGTTTGCTGTCTAAAGTGCTTGTTTAGTTTTGCACTGGATCTACAAGGCTAGTGAAGCTAAGTAACGGAAGCTAATACCACACTAGTTAGCACAGTGCTAACAGCATGCCTAAATCATTGCACGCTCGCCTCATATGGCATCAAGTAATCTCTATTAGACTTGCTTATATGGTTTCTACATAGTATGTGGTGTTGTGTGCAGCTAGCACCATGCTAATTTTTGATGTTAGCTTCTAATCACTTGTTAGCTACATTAGCCTCGTAGCTCCAGCGCAAAACCTTCAGACACCAAACATTCAAGGCAATGGGGGGAAAATTAGACTAGTGTGAATTAGATTTTTTTCACTCAACTGTTGTTTTTAGAGTAGAAATATTGGGAGTTTAGCATTAGCATTCGTGTTTCCCATTAGTGAGGACGAGATATGGACTCCAGTCCATTTACCGTGATTAAACACGGGCCCTGGACTCCAAAGCACTTTCCCAGTTGGTGTACCTCCAGATTGGATCTCAATCCAGGGCAGATAGATTTGCATACATTCAGCTAGCATGTGTCACCCTGTTATTACAAGCTCAGCTGAACGGCTGCAGCTAGTGAACCAGCCAGTTTGTCAGGGTTTCGCTCTGATACCTCATCAGTAAGCAGAAATAGTAAAATCAGCAGGAGTCAAATGAAGAATTTAATCATGTTTTATCAAGTCACAGTCAAATTGGCGCGCTAAGACGTGACGGAAGCGAGTGTATTTAGTGAACATCATTCAGTCTATAGGGGGCGGCATATGTGACGCTGTATGACATCTATAGTTCTGCCATCTTTTTCAAGTTGTTTTTATGTATACACCTTCCTCTTAACCTGCTCCCCCCCATCACCATCCTTTTGTTCATTGAGTTTTGTACATACTTTACAAATATCTTGCTGTTATGCTTTTTATTATGTGTCTTTTATATAAATGTGGTCAGTAGTAATGAACCATACCTGTGCTTGGACAATAAACATGTTCTTGGTATATGAGGATGTTTCTGTGTGTTGTTTTATAGTTGTTTTCTGTGCTTGCAGCCCCAGTAAAAGGTTTTTAAAGGGAAATTTTTGGAAATGCATTATTTCAATACAGTGGTGGTGATAGGAACCAGGGGTCAACATGACTACAACACAAATATAGACATTTTATTTACTATCCAGAACCACCAGTGAACCTACACAAGTTTTATATGGAATGTTGAGGATGGAAAATAGTGGAAAATCTGAAATAAGTTTATTTAAGTTTTCTTTGGGGACTATTTTGCTTCACAGCACCCTGCATATTATGTATCCCTCCACCATGAATGGAGTTTAAGGTCTTCTCAAAACTACATAAAACAGTGTCTCAGTCATCAGGCAGTGAATTCATAACCATTTCATGTAGTAACTTTCTGTGAGGGAGCTTTTAGAGGTGGACGTCTGGTTCCTATCACCACCACTGTGAACAATTCTGACTCTACAATGGAGCATTTCACATCAAACCACTCTGAATGATTTTGTTTACACCTGAACCACTGAATAACTGACTCTAAATGTTGGTATTGTGATATAAACTGAGTCTGTTCTACAGTTTCTCATTAGGCTGAATGAATAACCGACTCTAAATGTAGGTATTGTGATATAAACTGAGTCTGTTCTACAGTTTCTCATTAGGCTGAATGAATAACTGGCTCTAAATGTAGGTATTGTGATATAAACTGAGTCTGTTCTACAGTTTCTCATTAGGCTGAATGAATAACCGACTCTAAATGTAGGTATTGTGATATAAACTGAGTCTGTTTTACAGTTTCTCATTAGGTTGAATGAATAACCGACTCTAAATGTAGGTATTGTGATATAAACTGAGTCTGTTCTACAGTTTCTCATTAGGTTGAATGAATAACCGGCTCTAAATGTAGGTATTGTGATATAAACTGAGTCTGTTCTACAGTTTCTCATTAGGCTGAATGAATAACTGGCTGAATACATTTGTGGACAGACCACTTGTTCTTTCCAAACTGACCACGCTCACAAATCGAGAAATAAAATTTGCGATCTTTTGTTATGTTACCACAGTGTAAATATTGGAGTCAATTTTTAATTCCATGACGTCTCTGTGTAATTTCAGTCTTGTTTGAATAAGGCTACAGAGGGTTTATTTTAGTACTTCAGTCAGCTGTCTGCGACTAGAATAACTTCTCTCTCTCTCTCTCTCTCTCTCTCGCTCTTTCCATCTCAAACTTCTTCTTTCTCTCTCTGTCTGCCAGTCATTACAGTAACACATGTTTTCTCTCCGTCTTTCTCTTCTTTCTCTTTTACTCTCCGCATCCCTCCCTCTTTATTTCAGTTACGAGGCCTTTGGAGCCCAGTTTTTCCACTGCATCTCCTTCCAGTCGTTCAGCAGTTCCATATGCACAGCAAATTCCTTCAGTTCGCTGAACTAATTAAGTTTTCCATTCAGATTCATTGTATTCCCCAAATTCAAAACATGCACATAGCTGAGGCTGCCTGGAAGTCAGTCCTGATTAAGTCTCCCTCTGATATCTGATCCCTGAAGACACTTCCATTGGCGTGGCAATGGCACAGACGCGATGGCTGAAAAAACTGCAGGTTTGGCCAATGAACTGACCTAGATTTGCAATGGGGCTTAGCCAATGATCAGGCTGACCAGTAGGGGGGCGCAGGTCCAGGAAATGCCATTGGGATTAGAAAGCGCAGGTGATTGACAGCAGATGTGTTTAATGAGGAGCAGGATCATTAGAGGGAACCGAAAAGCAACGACCATCAGAGGAACAATGTTAAGGTTAAGTTAACCCTGTAAACTCCCATTCATTCTCATGCTCATAACTACAGAAATTACACATTAGTTTTATAGTGGATACTGAATAATTCAAAGTGGTTACTGAAATATTCACAGTGTTTACTGAATAATTCATAGTAGATACTAAATAATTCATAGTAGATACTAAATAATACATCGTGGTTACTGAATAATTCATAGTAGATACTAAATAAATCATAGTAGATACTGAACAAATCATGGTAGATACTGAATAATTCATAGTAAATACTGAATAATTGATAGTAGATACTGAATAATTCATAGTGGGTACTGAATAATTCATAGTAGATACTAAATAATCCATAGTAGTTACTGATTAATTCATAGTAGATACTGAATAATTCACAGTGGATACTGAATAATTCAGTGTACATATTAAATACATCATAGTAAATACTGAATAATTCACAGTGGATACTGAATAATTCAGTGTACATATTAAATAAATCATAGTAAATACTGTATAATTCATAGTGGATACTGAATAATTCATAGTGAATACTAATCAATATACTAATCAACATAGTAGTTACGGAATAATTCATAGTAGATACTGTATAATTCATAGTGGATACTGAATAATTCATAGTGAATACTAATCAATTAATAATAGATAGTAAAAATTCATAGTACATACTGAATAATGTATAGTAGATACTGAATAATTCATAGTAGATACTGAATAATTATAGTAGTTACTGATTAATTCATAGTAGATACTGTATAATTCATAGTGGATACTGAATAATTCACAGTGGATACTGGAAAATTCAGTGTATATATTGAATAAAACAGTAAATACTGTATAATGCATAGTGGATACTGAATGACTGTATCATATTCACTTATTGTATATATTATACTGAATAACTATAATTATTCACTTATTCACTTATTGAATAGTAATCAATATACTAATCAACATAGTAGTTACGGAATAATTCATAGTAGATACTGTATAATTCATAGTTGATACTGAACAATTCATAGTGGATGCTGTACAATTCATAGTGGATACTGAATAATTCATAGTAGATACTGAATAATTCATGGTAGATACTAAATTCATAGTGGAATACTGAAATATTCATAGTAGTTACTGAATAATTCATAGTGGATACTGAATAGTTCATAGTGGATACTGAATAATTCATACTAAATAATTAATAGTGGTTACTTAATAATTCATCGTAGGTACTAAATAGTTCATAGTAGTTGCAAAATAATTTCTAGTAGATACTGAATAAATCGTGAATAATATTAATCAGTAATTCAAAGTAGTTAGTGAATAACTCATAGCAGTACCTGAATAGTTTATAGAAAGTACTGAATAATTCAACACTGTATAATAGTAACTGAACAACTAACAGTAGCTACTAAACCATTCAGTAATTCATAGTAGTTGCTCAGTAATTCAGTTCAAGTTTTTAATGAATAACTCATAGAAATAACTAAGTAACTCAGCAGTTAAAAAAGCAGTTACTGAATGAATATCTGCCTGTTATCATCATGTGACTGATATGATCAGTGATAACAAACCTTTATATGGTAGCCCAGTGAAGCTAACAGAGCCCATGCGAACATCCAGACAGGCCGATTAGTGTGTGGTGGATGTCGGCCGGTGAGGAATGTGAAGGTTTTGGTCTGAAGCCTGCAGCTGTACTTGGTTACAGTGTGACCCTAATAAAAAAATAGCCTCTCTACCTCCTGCCCCTATAAAAGACCACATAACTGCCCCTCCTGCCTCCTTTATTACCCCCCGGGGCAGTAAAAGGCAGCTGTCTCTCTGCCTTCGACACAACCCACAACACACACACATACCGTAGCAAACACACACAATCTTCACAGCCTTCCCACACACCATCATACACACACACACACACACACACATATACACACACCTTCAGCACCTTCACACACACCACCAATTACAGCAGCAAACAGCAGCCAGCTGTAAATCCAGC